TGAAGTTGGTGTTGGGAAGACCAGGGGTGTAGGGCGAGACATTGTCAGTGGTCAACTCTTCGAACTCGGCCAATACACTGCGGATCTTGAGACACTCCTCGAGATAGTTGTCCTGATTGGCGTCGATAAGCTGGATGTACTCTCCACGGTAGAAGATGATAGAGTGGTTCTGGTTGTCAGACTTGCCGTCACCGAGAATGGGGTTGCCAGAGAGTTGAATGCGGAACTTGGGACGACGCATGCCATTCTCCATGATCTCAGAGTGGCCATCAATCAGAGCAGAGTAGATGCGAGGCTCTTCATCTTCAGTCGCAGGTGGCTCTTCGTCAAGGTAGGCAATTTGCAGGTCGGGGTAGGCACGGAGAAGGAACTCGGTGTTCTCACGCTCCTCCTTGTTGAACTTGGCATAACGCTGCATAGACACGCAGATCTTGTACTTGCGCCTGGCCATGCGCTCGAGTTCGCGCTCCAGCTTGTCAGAGTTGCCACCGAACATCTGGACGACCTCGGGGTTCTCGACACGGTACAAAAGCTTGATGGCACGGCTGTAGTTCATGAAACCAGAGATGGTACGGTACAGAGTCTGGGAGCGAAGAGAAGCCCAAATACGAGTTCGGAGAGTGTACTCGGGAGCGGCAGACTTGAAACCAATGCAGTAGAAGGGAAGATCATCGATCTTGCTCTTAGCGGTATCCTTCTCGTTCTTCTCGTCATCACCGTTGAACTGGGAAGTTTCATCGGCGAGAATCTTGGTGTCCTTGACGAAGCAGTCCCACTCGTGAGGGTAGAGTTGCTTGAGGTACTCCAGAAGCGTGACACGGGAGTAGGGCTCGTCCTCACGGATAATCTCACGGAGAGACAACAGGATCTTCTCACCGTAGTGGGGAATCAGGACGGTGAAAGTAGGCATGTTGTCGACCGGAAGAGGCTCTGGGATAGGAGTGGACAGAGACTGGGCGAAGAAAGAGATACGACGCTCAGCTTCACTCTGTGCTGGGAAGAACTCGGTCTTGAACGAGTGATCTTCTTGGGACACGAAGAAGGTAGGCGCACGAAGGGTGCGCTTGCCCTCCTGCTCAGACGGAACCTGGTGGTACAGAAGCTTCTGGACGTGGTCAATAGCGAGGAGATGCTCGCGGTACATGGAGATGACGATGGCGTTCCAGATCTGCGAGATGAGAACCTTGGGCTTGTACTTGATCTCCATGTCAGTCGTCGCCAGGACCTTTGAGTAGATACGCTTTGGCAGACGAGAGAAGATGTTCCTCCAAGGAGTCCAAATAGACACACCGAGGTAGAAGGAGCGAGAGACGGAGAACAACATGTTGGCAATAATGTACCACAGGTAGGAATCCAAGAAGAAGAGAATCAAGTCCATGAAGTACATGAGACCGAGCAGGATACGGGGTTGGTACTTGCAAAGCATGTCCTTGAGGATGGCATCTCCCAAGCAGTTGGGCTTCTGCATGTGGGAAAGGATACGAATGGGATCCTTGATGGACAGAGTCAAGAAGAAGTAGGACTCAGCCAGCTTGGCCGCGAAGACAAGGACCCAGAGACCGTACGACATCCACATGTCATTACCAGTGAGGCGGGGGTAGCTAGCAGTGAAAGTCTGACTGGCAACGTACTTGCGAGAGTTGCGTGTCAGGTAGCTACCGAAGAGACCACCAATGGGCATGACCGAGAAGAAGATGTAGGTAACCAGAGCAATGGCGAGCTGAACACCGCTGAGAACGTTGGCGATGGTACCAGTGCGCTTGTCCATGCCAAAGATGTAGACGCTAGGAGCAACGTTGACAACAAAGACAAGGAGAAGGAAGAGAAGACGCTTGGTCAAATGCTGAGCACCTGCCCATTTACGGGGGACGTAGCACCACTCGCAAATAGTGGCGAAGATTTGAATGAACGAAGCGAGAGTACCTCCGAGAGCGACAGCGGACAGGGTAGCTGCCTTCTCTGGCGACTGGTTCAGCTGTTGCTGGTAGTTCTTTGTGTAAATTGGCTGTGAGTTGGCGACAGTGTAGAACCAGAAAGAACACAAGTGAATGACCCAGATACGGTTGAAGTTGATAACCATGTGGAACCATGAACGGCGCTCATAGTACGTCTTGAAGAAGACCTTCTTCCAAACGACATCCTTGAGCTTCAGGTATCGCTCAGCCGGAGGAATGTCAACGAGGCGAGACTTGTCCTCGAAAACAATGCGCTCAAGACCCTCAGGGTACCAGAACAGCTGGTTCATGTCGTCGTAACCAATGATGGCTGCGTGATCACGCTCGCGACGAACGTACTTGCCATCTTGAATCTCGTAACCTTGGTCACGGCAGTACTGGTAGAGAGGTGTGATGATGTTGTTGAGGTATGTCAACTCTTCAACTGGCTCGGTTTGAGCCTGGCCAGCTGGCGAGTTGAGGTAGTCATCGGCGCACTTGAAGATGAAGCACGTGAGCTCAGGCATGAAACGGACCTGGTTAGCTTCACCCCAGCAGAGAAGGTAAAGCGCAATCTGGCGCACACGGTCGTGCTGCGACATGCGGTTCATGCGGGTCTTCCAGCGGTATTCAGCCGCCTCAAGACTGTTGTCTCCTTCGTAAGCATCGAGTGTCTCCTGCTCGTTTCCGCCCTCAGCGGCCGCCTTGGCTTTGGCAGCCTTGCGGGCCTTGCGAGTTCGGCGATTGGCCTTTCCAAGGTTCATGTTGGCAAAACCAACAGCATCGTCCAGATCAAGATGGGCCGCAAAGTACCAGCGGCGGTAGTTGGCGTTCTCACCGCCAATGTAGTCGGCGTGGAGAGACAGCAGCGCCTGATTTGGCGACATGCGGGATGCACGCGAATCGAGCAAAGTCATCAAGTGATCGTACATGTTGCGCATGCTGTCACGCTGGAAACCGAACTTGGCGGTCAGGTCGAGGAAAATGTCCTCAATCTCCTCCTTGGTGCAAGGAATCTGGGCTTCAGCAGTCCAGGCCGGGTAGGGCTCGCGAGACCGCTGACCAGCGGGCAGAGCGTTAGAGTAGTCCATGCCGTAGATTGGGGTCGAAGCACCAGAGGAGCGGTTACCACCGTAAGAAACTTGAGACGAGGGGGGGCGGTATCCGCGATTTCCTTCAGCGTAGCTGTTGTAGCGCTCGTCGCCACGGCCGTAGTAGTCCATGTCGGTAGCACGAGCCATGTCGGAGCGCATCGTGAAGTCGCTGAAGGTCTCGGAGTCTTCCTCGGAATCATTGCGGCGGCGAGGAGGTTGGCCATCTTGCGCGCCACCTTGGTCGTAGTACTGGTCAGAGTAGTACTCGTCCTGGTAGCCCTGTTGACCTCGGTCGTCGTAGTAGCCACCATTTTGTTGGTATTGGCCGCCGTGCTGGCCATCGTAATAAGCTCTACAAAGCTGAGTTAGCAGCACGTACAGGGCAATGGCAAATGCGGCAAGACTTACGACTCATCGTAATAGGCGTCACCGTGCTGGCCCTGAGCATACTGGCCTTGAGAGCGATCATCATGATACTGGGCGTACTGGTCGTCGTGATAGTATGCGTCCTGGCCTTGCTGACCATGGCCCTGGGCAGGAGCCTGGCCGTAGCCATCGTCGTAGTGGCCTCCCTGCGGATGTCCGGACATCGTGGGAAGCTATTAGGGTTGTGTGTAGAATCTGTGTAGTGGACTTGTCAGTAACCGTCGCTGGGCCTGGGTGAGGCGAGGGCTGAAACGGCCGGCGTCGGAAGGGCGGACGTACCTCAAACAATGGGCATTAGAAGCGGCAGTGAGGAAATGGCGGAATTGCAGCTGCCGCACGACTAGGTGCTTTTGACGGTTGGTGCAGCGAGGTGCAATGCGTGAGAGAACGAGTGGAAGGCCGCTTTGGGGGTGCGAAGGGGCAGTAGTAGTAGTAGTAGTAGTAAGAGATGCAGCAGCTCGGAAAGGGCCGAGTGTGCAAGTGGCGGAGCAGAAGAGGGGAAGAATTCTTGTTGTGGTCGTGGTTATGGTTGTGGTGCTGCTAGCGAGTGGATAGCTGGAAGTGCAGCTGGGGGGCGTCGTGGTTGCCAGGAGAGACGCGCGGCGGGCGAGGCGCTTGCTCTGCGCAGGGCGATGATGGATTAGGGTTGCGTGTAGCAGTAGCAGTAGTAGCTCCCGGCCAAGACAGTCGAGAGCGTCCGCAGATGGACTACACAACCTCGACGCGGTGAAACGAGAGGCAATGCAGAGAAATGGGACAGCAGACAAATGGGGAGTGGAGGGGGGAGGGGGTGAGAGAGCGACGGTAGTGAATGTGGACGGGCAGGCAAAGAGCTTTTTAGCAGCTTCCCCTGAAAATGAAAGGCAGGCCTGCCAAGCTGGTCTAACGCCGTCAGACGGTGGGTGTGCATGGGTGCCCCCATCCGCCGCCGTGGCCGTGACGTGCCGGGCATTGCGTTGCCCCTCTAAAAACGGCATGCGTCTACGACGACTGCACCAGCAGTACAAAAGCATGCCCGCCGCCCGCATGGGCAATCCAACACGTCTCGGGCCCTCACCGCGACTCGACAAAGACTGCGCGCCATGGCGGAAAAAAAAACCTGTCCTGTGAGGGCGAGCGCAGGGCCGGCGCGACACCCAGTCTGCGGTGGCTCTTGGATCTGCGATCTGCCTGCATATCGATAATACAAGGCCGCTCCCGTTGAGCAGTAGCATGTACCAGGTACATTCACTGTCTCGCTCACCATTGGGGGAGGGAGGGGGTGCCGTGCACCGGCCTGGCAGACGATAGTACAATACGCCCGAAGCGTGTTTCCATTACCAGACCGGCGGCCTTATGTGTGTGTATGTGTGTGCGGGTGTGTAGGAGTAGTAAGTACCAACGTGTACTTTTTTCCTTGTCTTTCATGACAAGAGACAAACAAAGACACGCGAGGCTTACGCCCAGCTGTCAGCCAAACCGCCCCCTTCTCCCTTCTCCCTTCTCCCTTCTCCCGTCTCCTGGGCCTCGCCTCGCCTCGCCTCGCTGCTCTCCACTCCCCAAAAGCCTATCCGCGGCGGGCCTGTCTGTGTGCTCCCTTCAGGTGTCGCTGGCTGCATTGGCTTTTCACATTGGTACCCACCCACCACCATGTCACGTCATGACAGTGCGTTGAGGCGAGGGCCGGCACTGGACCACGTCCGGAGCAGAGACACACCGCAGCGCAGCGCAGTGCAGCGGCGCCATCGACAGGCCCCGCGCTGATCAAACCACGCCAGGCGAGCCGCCTTCGCGCTCGTCCGGCGATAGCAGTAGCCCGGCCCTTATCGCAAATGCAATCGACGTGGCGCTCTTCTTCCGCTGCAACCTAGCCCGCGCCCGTAGCTCAATTCAACGGTTGCAGCCTGCTGGCGCCGGGCGTTGTGCAAAGGGGGGAGGGGAGTGCCGCTGTTGAGGCCTGCTCCGTCCGCCCGCTGTCCGCTGCCTCCGCCCTGGGCGTCCGCTACCATTATTGCCTGCGACGCCGCCATGAAGAAAAACTATCGAGCGACCTACTTACTCGGTGCTCGACAGCCGCTTTGGTGCCACGGCCTGCATGTGCATGGCTGTCACTCGTCGACAAATGGCCCGTTGGCAGCTGCACCCGGGCGAGGCCCTCAAGGCAAAACCATCGCGGCATGACGACACTGCGGTAAGAAATGCGCGCTACCAAAGCCGGTGTAGACCCCAGTAGCCAGTGAGCTATATTAGACTGCCCAGTTTCCAAGTTTGGGCGGTTGGGTGTTGGGCAACTGGCAAATGAGAGGCTCTGCAGAAGCAAGAAATCGGCACTCCGGCCGGGAGGCTGTGCTCGCCTTCATTCTTACGCCCACTGCTCGTCCTTGTAGATCCGGTTTTCTGTCTCTCTTCCATGGACAGCACTCGCGCTAGGTCTGCTCCACTGGCTACTAAGTACATACACGTTCTCTACCGCTGCACCATGAAATCCAATCCCATAACCACCGGCTCCCTCTAGCCTGCGCTCGTCCCTTCACGCTCCCTACATAACACCTGCGCTACTCTGCGCACATCCAAGTAGTACATGCATACATACATATGTACATAAACATCACTTGCGCTCTTGCCACGTGCCCAAAATGTCCGCCGCCCTCCTATGCACCATGGCCCTTTTCGCGCAAAATAGGAGACTCGACGTGAACGCACCCCCTTGACGTGTGTCCAAGTAACTACTCTACATAATACCGACGTACTTACCACATCCATCCATCCATCCATCCATACACTACGCACACGCAGTGCCACCCAGGAACCCCGTCAAGCACATTGGCTCGTTGCCACCAGCTAGAGCGGCGTTGGAATTGCCCTCGCAGCCTCATTCAATTGGCCGCTTCACCCGCATGCGACTCCGCCACCCAAGAACTACGTTTCACCTGCACAAACCCGCCTATCCAACAATTGCACCGTCCGGCCCCTCTTCGCGACACGCTGCGAGGCGGTGCAGCCATGCGTACCATTCTGCCTCCCTCCTGCTCCCTCCGATTGCCACCGCTACTGCTCTTTACCCACAACCTGAACCATCGCGTGCTCTCCTACCCACCTATTATCTGTATCGCTTCCGTAGATCCAACAAGAGGGGGGGGCGGGAATGCGCGCCGCGGCAGCAAGGCATCTGAAAACGTCAAGCCCCAATTTAGCAGCATGATGGGCGGTGGGGCGACTGGCGAAATCCAGGTGGAGACTGCGAAATTGTGCATACGCGTCGCATGAGACCAATGTCCTTACCCAAATGTTCGGACAAACACCTTGGAGCAGCCAGACGGGCATGTGTCGTCGTGCTGTCATTGACAAATAAACATGATGGCTTCTTGCTAGCACAAGCATATGTGTTCTGCAGCTCGTGGCGACTACGCGATATGCTGACGCCCGCTCAACTGGGTGCAATGGACAAAGGAGCGCCTCACAGTCTCGAACCGCGCACGTGCCGCTAATAACTTGGTAGCCAGCGGAAGTAGGTGCGGTAGGGCGGTGGCAAAACTTTGGGTTACATAATACATCATTGTATAAAAGGTTTCAATATATCATGTATTTACCTTGTACTAGTATATAATAAGTCCATACTAAGCCTAAAAACCTAGCGCTTAGAAAGATTGAGATGTAATACTGCTGTATTGGGTGATTTTGATACATCCGAAGTCTGGCCGAACAAAATCGCCCTACTTGCTCCACTGCCCCTACTTCCGCTAATGACCAATACGAAATAGGGCTAGCATCAGGGGTACGGCTGAGCGCTTGTGGATCTGTCTTGGGATGCTTGGTCGGCCTTAGATTTCTTCACTCGTTGTGCCTCAGAGCTGTTTCTTCACACACTCTTTTGTTTTACCCAGTCAATCATTCAGTTTTTAAGTTAGTTCCTTTTTGCATACAGTCTTCTTTGCTGTTGCGCCACGCTCCTTGACCCATTTTGCGCATTACCAAACGCCCCAAGACGCGCGCCTTGCCTTTGATTCTCGGCGAACCAGCCTAAGCTCTTGCCAACCCCAACCACACATCTTGGACAACATCTTGTGCTCTCCCTATCGAAATGCGCGGACTCATTGCGACCACGGCCCTGCTCGCAGGCGTGCAGGCGGCCGTTGACCCCATTGTCATCAAGGTACCACGTCGCGCGACAGGTTGCGACACCAGTGGCTAACAGCGCGAAATAGGGGCAAAAGTTCTTTATGAAGAACAGTGGTGAACAATTGTAAGTAACGCGCTCACCACATCTATTCCAAGCCAAGCTAACGCCGAGCCAGTTTCATGAAGGGTGTTGCTTATCAACGTAAGCATTCAGCAGGCCAAGATCAGAACACAAGACTCACAACCAGCAGAGGAAGTAAACTCCAACACCACAGCCACTTCGACCGATGCGCTCAAGATCACCGACCCCCTCGCTGATTCGGCAGCATGCAAGCGCGACATCGCTATGCTCAAGAAGCTCAACACCAACACCATCCGTGTCTACGCCATTGACCCCAAGAAGGACCACACCGACTGCATGTCCCAGCTCGCAGATGCTGGAATCTACGTCGTTGCTGACTTGTCCGAGCCTGGACTGTCCATCAACCGTGACGACCCTGGCTGGACTGTCGACCTCTACAACCGCTACACCAGCGTTGTCGATGAGATGATGAAGTTTGACAACACCCTTGGTTTCTTCGCTGGTAACGAGGTTAGCAACCAGCCCAACAACACCGTTGCCAGTGCATTCGTCAAGGCCGCTGTCCGTGACACCAAGGCCTACATCAAGAGCAAGAACTACCGTGAGATTGGTGTTGGTTATGCTACCAACGACGATGCCGACATCCGTGAGAACATGGCCAACTACTTCGACTGCGGTGACAAGGACAGCGCCATCGACTTCTGGGGTTACAATATCTACTCCTGGTGCGGTGACTCTTCCTTCACCAAGTCCGGCTTTGACGTTCAGACCAAAAACTTTGAAAAGTACAACGTCCCCGTCTTCTTTGCTGAATACGGTTGCAACACCCCCCGTCCCCGTTTGTTCACCGAGGTCAAGGCTCTCTATGGCAAGGACATGGTTGGCACCTGGTCTGGCGGTATCGTGTACATGTACTTCGAGGAGGAGAACCAGTTCGGTAAGTTTCCTTTTTGCTTCTGTTGAATTGCTTAAGATTGCATGCTTATAAATCCCCAGGTCTTGTTTCCATCAAGGACGGCAAGCCTGTGCCCAACGACGACTTCGACAACCTGTCCTCGCAGATTGCCAAGGCTACCCCAGTTGGTGTCAAGATGGCTGACTACAACCCTACCAACACCGCCGCTGCCTCGTGCCCCAAGGTTACCCCCGGAAAGTGGGAGGCTGAGTCCGATCCTCTTCCCCCTCCTGCCAACTCCAACCTCTGCTCGTGCATGATGGAGACCCTCTCTTGTGTCGTTGACGAGAAGACTGACGAGGAGGACTTTGGCGACATCTTCGGCTTCGTCTGCGGATTGAAGGACGGCGAGTACTGTGCAGGCATCAACAAGAACGCCACTTCTGGTCCCTATGGTGTCTACGGTATGTGCTCCAACCGTGAGCAGCTCTCTTTCGCTGTCAACGCCTACGCCAAGAAGAACAGCGGCGGCTGCAACTTCAAGGGCAAGGCCACCACCCAGTCTGCCAACCCTAGCCCTACTGCTTCCGGCTGTGCTTCGCTTCTCAAGGAGGCTGGTGTTGCTGGCACTGGCTCCGTCGCTGGCGGTGCTGCTGCTGCCTCTAGCACCAGCTCCGCTGGCGCTGGCTCTGGCTCCTCCACCGGCGCCGCTTCTACCCTCTCCACTGACGGTGTCTTTGGTCTCGGTCTCTACATGCTTGGTGCCGTTGCTTCAGGTATGGCTATGATCCTGTTGTAATTGAAAAATTCGGCATAATAGAAGGATTGTTTGATTGGGTTGTCGGTGGTTGACCTTGTCGTTTTTCACATTTGCATTGTTTGCGTGGGATTGCGCGTATTCCCATTTGTATCACTCGTTTTTCTTATATCCAATACCGCCGTGTGTGGTCTGTTATGGAATGTCCTTTTTTTTCGAAAGAAATTGTAATTACGCGCATGCGTATCTGTATAATCGATGTAGATAATGCAGTGCAATTATAGAAGCATTACAATCTGACCTCTGTACTTACGCGCTTTTGTGTCCTGATGTATGACTTTGCTTCGTTATATTATTAATTCATCTGAGCGCAGTATTCATTTTGTAAGGGCAAATAACTGGCCCCTACAGAATTGACAATTCTGACATTCTGATTCCATCGTCAACACGGATGCTTGCAATGTATCACGTACTTCACGTTTGCGCAGACGTTGGAGGGGTAGCTGATGCGCCTGACATCGAACCATCGCCCCACTTCTTGACTGTATATCGTAGTGGGCTGACAAAATTCCCTGCTTTACTATGGTCAGCCCGACCTTACCGTACCAAATAATTCACTTTCTATCCTTTCGTGGGACATCGTGTAGGCATTTGCATGTTGCGCAATTCAGTCTGCTCATCCACAGCTTCCGCCTGGGTTGACGTCATCTGACTGACCTTGGAAAATAACCTTGCAAATAAACTTGGCTTGGGTCATGCCTGTAACGCCTCAAACCCAAAGCATACAAACAAGAAGTCTACCGGCATATTCCTTTGGAGTTCTCAAGAGTAAGCAGGCGCCATCGAAGTACTCGAAAGACAGGATACCAGCAGATACATCAGTACGCTAGGAAACTATATGCGCCTAGCTATCGAAAGACACCATGAGCCAAACCACATCCCCAGCTCGGCCCACAGTTGATCATCTACGGCATGTCGTCAACAACTACCCAATCATCGACAATCACGCGCACAATCTTATCCTACCTCAACATATAGACACAATACCATTTGAAACCATTACTACAGAAGCTCAAGGTAGAGCTTTGAGAGATACTTTCAAGTCGCTTTCTCATCTACGAGCAGCTAAACAACTACGTCTACTGTACGAGTGTGGAGAGGATGCGGATTGGGAGGAGATCCTTGCACAGAGAGTGGAATGGCTTCGAAGCAACTCGGACCGTTTGCACCAACGATGCTTTGAGAACGTACACGCATTGCTTATTGATGATGGCCTTGCTTTGCCGGACAAAGTCTTCCCTTACAAATACCACGACCGATATACCAAGGCACCTACCAAACGCATCGTGCGCATCGAAACTGTTGCTGAGCGGCTGATGGAAAGTCTTGTGCAGGATGCATCAGAAGACGACTTGGCGAAAAGTCAATTTTTGCCACAGATCTGGACCGACCTTACCGACGATTTTGAGAGGATAATTCAAGAGGCTGTAGAGGACGAAAGCATTGCTGGTTTCAAGTCTGTCGTATGCTACCGGACGGGGCTGGATATTGAGCCTGAATACGATGAGGCTGCAAAAGCAGTTGGTCACCCTTTCGAGCGCTACGTGAAGACGTGTATTCGTAAACGCAACTTTCGAATGGAAAAAAAGCCCCTGAATGACTATCTAGTGCTGCGAACACTCGAGATACTTTCGGAGCGGTTACCACATCCTGATTCACTTGCGAAACCCTTCCAGCTGCACACCGGCCTGGGCGACAACGATATCAACTTGCTGGAGTCCAACCCTGCCTTTCTTCAGCCGTTGATAGAAAATTACCCACAAGTCCCCTTTGTCATTCTTCACTCGGCATATCCATATACACGCGAAGCGGGCTACCTTGCAACTGTTTACCGACACGTGTACCTAGATATTGGCGAAGTTTTTCCCATGGTCAGCAGAGATGGTCAGAGAGCGGTCCTCCGTCAAGCCTTGGAGTTGGTTCCCGGTAGTAAACTCCTCTACTCTAGCGATGGTCATTGGTTCCCAGAGACCTTCTGGCTTGCTAATGTGCAGTTCCGTGAAGTCTGGCTTGAGGTAAGATGAAACATATGCTGGATTACATGTTCCGATCATGCTGATCAAGCTAGCTACTCCTCGAATATATCCAGAGAGGCGATCTCACTCCTCACCAAGCCATTGGTATGACGAAAGATATCATGTTCAACAACGCTAATATTCTCTATGACCTGCATTATCAGGCAGTGTTTGATGAGAATATACAGTTATCGCCGAAGCAGCTGACATACAATGCAAAGCCCAATGCGCCAATTTCTCCATATCAATCACCAACTGCAACACCAGGACCCAACATGCCTGTATTCGATCAGGCTACTGCTCCTCAGCGCGCCAGCGAGTCTGCGTCTCCTTACGTACCACCCAACTTCCCACCACCACCAAAAGTACCGCAAGTATACGACATTGAACTGTTTAAAAGCTTCATGGAGAATAATCCAAATACCAAATTCATCTATGTGCAATGGCTTGACTACACAGCCACCGTTCGGAGTCGTGTGGTTCCCATTAGAGAATTCACACGGATAATAAATGAAGGCAGACGTATAGGGATCTCGCGAGGTACCACTGGGATTTTACAAAACGACGGCCCGACTTCTGTTATGAACACCACAGGTCAAATTTATGTTGAGCCTGATTTACGTTCACTTTGCCGGACACACAACAAGGACCCTCTCCCAGCTGCCACGGTGTTTAGTTACTGGCGCTCAGAGAACGGCTCCGCTCTTCCAGAAGATCCCCGTAACAATCTGGAGATACTTATCAACGACCTACAATACAACTACTCAGCCACTCTGCTCATAGGGTTCGAGATCGAAGTCACGTTTCTCCGTCGGAACACACAGTCGTCATCCACCAATGCCGCACAAGCAGAGCCATCACCACTAACAAAGACGCACGCTTGGAGTACCATGTCGCCCGAACAGTGGACTCAACTACCCTTCCTGGGTGAGATTGTACTCGCACTCGAAGACATGGGTATTGAGCTCCAACAATTCCACGCCGAGTCCGCCCCAGGCCAATATGAGTTTGTCCTGCCACCGCAACCACCGCTCCTGGCCATCGACACACTGATCCAAGCACGACAGGCGATTGCACAAATAGCCAGTCTGCATGACTTGCGAGCAACGCTGCACCCACACCCATTCGAAGGAATAGGCACCGCAGCCCACGCACACATTAGTCTGCACCCGCCTGATCGCGACATGCAATTCTTCGTCGGAGGCATATTGAGACACTTACCCGCCATTTGTGCATTCACTATGCCACAAGAAGATAGTTACGCAAGAGTTAAGGATAACTCTTGGTCTGGAGGATCCTGGGTACGTTATATCCCTTCCACTTCCCCCCCCCTTTTAATGACCCAAGAAAAAAAATACATCATCTAACGAATACACACAGGTAGCATGGGGCACTCAGAACCGCGAAACCCCTCTCCGCCGCATCGGGCCCGGCCACTGGGAAATCCGCGCCCTAGACGGCACCGCAAACATTTTCTTTGCCCTCTCCGCACTGCTCGCAGCAGGCATCCTCGGTCTCGCGGCCAACGAACCCGCATCTGCATACCCCGAACGCGACATCTCTGTCAATCCGGCCAAGCTGGATGACGAAGATCGCGCGGAACTGGGTGTGACGCAGATGCTGCCCAAGAGTCTGGGCGAGGCAATGGAGGCGTTGCACAGGGATGCGGCGTTGCACGAGGCGTTGGCACCTGGGTTGGTGAAGGATTATTTGGCGATCAAGGATGGGGAGAGGCGCATGTTGGGGGCCATGTCGGAGTATGAGCGCAGGATGTTTTTGATTGATAGGTACTAGGGGGATGAGGGGCTTTTTGCTGCTTCCACAACAGATGAATGGAATTAGGGGAAGACATTTGATAGTCATCAAGTATACATGTTTTGTCTTGTTTTACTCCACATCTCCTCTTTTGTATAACATTCACACGGTTCTACATACGGGGTATCTCTTTTCTACTTTTCTTTTCCTTCTCATTTCTCAAATCAACCCCAACCCCTTCATCTTCCCTATCATAGCCTTCGCTTTCACATCTCCCCCCGCATCATCATGCGCCCGCTTAGCGTGTTTAATCAACTCGCCTCTCCAGCGCCAGTAACTACTTTCAATCTGCCTCGCTACGTCTTCGCCCTCCACCCGCGCAACAAGATGACAGACCCAAATCAGTCTTCTCGCACTGATGAATCGATGTTCCATCATGGGCCGGATGATCGCAGCGCGCACCACGGCTTTGGTGAACAACGGACCAATAGGTAGCGAGTACGTCTGAAGGTAGTTGTAAAGGTAGTATATCGAGCGCCACGTCTCACGATGGGAGCGTGTGGTGCTGATCGAGTAGAAATGAGCGAGTTGGTGGATGAGGACTGTGCGGTCCGAAGTGGGTATATCGGCCGTAGTAGTGGCATAGACTTGGGGTAGAGCGCGATTTGCGGAGGCACGATCGAGGATTGCAGTGAATTCGCGGCGGGCTTGTAGATAAAGCAGATGTTTCTTTGTGTGGGACAGGGCGCTTGCGGCGGATGTAGAAGAAGAGATGAGTTTGACAAGGAGGTCGGTTATGCCTTGGCAGGTGCGTAGAGCAAAGGCGTAGTGTTGACGGGCTTGTTCGTTCATCGATTCGGTTTTGCGGGGGAGCGAGGCTGCTCTTTTTATGAATCGAGACTGGATGCTTGATGCGTTTTCCAGCATGAATCCGTGCTGTTTTATTATGGATAGGATGCGATATACGGATATCAAATCGGCATGGCGAGTGAAGGTATATACAGTCAGGTCTACCAAGGGTGTGCAAGGTAAACCTTCTCTTCGCATGCGAGCAAAGACACGCCCTAAGAGTGCTTCAAAATCTAGAGGTTCTTGAGACGTATGTACGGGAGCATAGATGAGCTGCAATGTCCTCTCTCTGTAAGATGCGTACAGTGTTTGCTGTGTCAATTGAAATGTCAAGGCGTGAAGCAACACATGGCCTTGCATTCTGCCAGGATTGCTGTTCCTGAAGACATACTTGTTCACTGCTGCAATCGCAGTGTCGAGATGGTCTGCGCTAGACGCGTGAGAGGCTGAACGTTTATCGAGACCTTCAAGCACCGTTAACCATGCGTCGAGGCGATATTCATGAGCCCCATTCCGCAGTTTAGTTTCCCGCGCAACAGCTGTGACCAGAGATGTGGTAACCGATGGTATAAGCGATTGAAGCTGCTTTCGTGGAAGACAGAAAAGTGTCTTTTCTAGAGTAGTACAGAGCCTGTAGTCGGTCGCAGCACGCGCAAGTAACAATATGGTGCTTTGTTGTACACTGTTTTCGCCTGTGAAGATTGAGCGCAACGCCTCTCGAATGTCGATGTTTTGAATCTTTTCCGTGACCAAAGCCAAGGTGTGTGCTATAGAGGGCTCGATCTGGTTGTTTGGTGAAAGAGCGCCTTGAAGCGCCAGCCGAATGATGGAGAGAAGCTCGGTGTCCTGTGAAGAGTTCTTCGAGACTGGGGCAGACCACGCCAACTCAACCACTCTCATGGAAAGGTCATGGTAGACTTTGGCAGCGTATGGAAAACGTGCTGAAGATTTCCCTAAACTGTCGAGAAAGTCTTGGCTTTGCGATGTGTACATGGGCGGAAGTGCGAACGATTCGTGTTCCGAGAGAATATTTGAAGGATCCCAACCAAGTTCTACCACGTACTCGACTACCATAGTATTGTATATCCATGCATCCGAGTGGACTGGAAAACAGGACTTCCAGGCATTGGCAAGGAGTCTGTTGCGCTCAGCAAAGGATAGGTCTCCAGCGCATACGACCTCGGATTTGAAGTCGTCGAAGCGGGCCAAGATATGCGCGCTAATCCGTTCGATATCCCCACTTGAATTCCCAGTAGAGGTGTATTCGAACTCGTCAGAGTTTGGAAAGGCGAGTGGGTTGGGCTGGGGAGTCGAGGCTGCATGCGAATGTGAAATACGATCGAATTGAGGCACTGGGGAGCTCGGTGGCTGTTGATTCACTACTATCATTAGTAGAGCAAATTGTGTTTTTACATGGCAGACATACAAAGGTCCAATGGCTCGGTCCTGTGTGGCAAGGATGGCGCTTCATATCTCCAAGCGGGCTGCGACTCTCTGCGGAAGGCAAACAGAACGCCCAGGTTGAAGAGCGATTGGAAGGTGTATTGAGGATGAAACCCCGCAGAGACAGTCATCCGACGCTTGGCTGCCCTCCTCCTAGCCTCCAATGGCCCCGGGACATTGCTGCCATGGCGTCTCTGGTGTGGACACGAGCTAGGGAAAAATGAATGGAGGGCGCGGACGAGGAGGTCGTCAGAGATCCATATGTGATGGGCAGTGGGCAATTGGAGCGACTGCACTGCTCTGCGGCAGGCAGCAGACGGACGGCGCATCAAGCGGGGTGGTGGTCATCGAAGTGGGCGTACAGCTTGGTAGGCCATTGAGGGCATGTCCAAATTGGGAAGCGGGCAGTGCACGTGACAGTGATGACTAAGAGGATCGCGAGAATGGCTTGGTGGTTTGGTCTATGTGCTTACGTACATGCTTACAGGTCATAGTAGGTGGACACAGATAATGGGGTGTGCTTAACGGGAGGATGCGACAAAGCTGGGGAACTTTGACACGGTCTTGAGTCTTGAGATGGAGCCTGCCTGACTCCGTGGTGGTGCGCCTTTGTCTCAGGATACCAAGACGATTTGACGGCTGTCTAATGGGCCCGTTGGCGGCGCAGAGGCTGAGGCGCAACGGTTAAGCGGGGTGGCCGGCAGGGAGGCCGTGTGTCGGGTTCGCAGACAGGACGGACATACATGGACTATGGATACAAGAGGGGGAAAGCCAAGGGAGGGAGGGAGTGGACGTCACGCAGAGTAAATATGTACATGTGTACTTACATACGTGTGTGTGTGTGTGTGTGTGAGCGCGTACGTGTGTGAGCGCATATGTACCTCCGTAAGTACACAGGGTATGCGGGTGAGCAGGCACACACACAGGACACGCACCGGGCGTGCACGTCTAGAGTTCTCGGTGAGTGGTTGGGCCGGAAGAAGCGGGCAACGGGCAGCGGCGTGTAGGTACAGCATAGTGATAGGATGTTCCGGGGGTTAAATGAGCATGAAAGCGCCGTCAAGCCACCGCGTCGCGTTTGCTGCTCGGCGAGGCGACAATGGCGCACTCAGCAATCAGTCTCGGTCCCAACAGTGGGACGAGTGGATCGCGCAGAGGTTCTCGGCCTGCAATCCAATGATCCAAGGGCAAAAAGCAAAGTTGAGCGGCGACAAGGAGCCAACGTCGGTAGGCGTCGAGCCAAGGGCCGTCGTGGACGCGGTGCAGGACCGCGCGGCGCCGTAATGGCACTGTGTAATGGCACAATGTCAGCCCTCAGGCACACGCACCCCTGTCGGCCGTGGCTGCTGGTGAAACGCCACTGGCTGGGCCGGCAGCCAATCACGGCAGCGTGCCTGGCAGCAGGTGGGGCCGGCTATTCCGCCTTGGACATGGCGCTGCACCGGCGGCCCTCGCACCAGAGGGCCCGGCGAGCGGCATCGTTGGTACTAAGGGCAGCCATGGCAAGGAGAAGAGCAGTTAACTACTGTGTAAGTAATACTTGCCTGTGTGTGTGTGTCTATGTCGTGGCAGCACTGGCAGCACTAGAGGCAGATGAAGGGGGCCTGGCAATCTGCGGCGCCCTGCCCGAAGCGGTGTCGTGTGCGTGCGAGGGTACGGGTGCGTCTGACTGCCACTGCCGGTGCGCTAGCTGCCAAGGCTGGCTCCTGCTCTCCTGGGCCGGCGGTGCCTGCCCATCCCGACTGCTGACTGGGGGCGCCCTCTCCTTGCTTTGCTTTGCTTTGCTCTTCACTCGCGATCCACTTCTGTCAAGGCCCGAGCCTCCTCTCGTTTGTCTGCTTCACCCGTCTGTCACTTACCTACCATCGACATACATCCACAATCGTTTGACCTGACCGCTGCCCTCCACATCTCCCACCGCCCCTTCCCCCCCGACTGTTTTCCTTCCTTTTGCCTACCGCCTCAGGGGTGCATTCCACGGGGCATCCGAACCGTTTCATCGACATCTGTCCTGTCCCTACGCCCTCGGTTTCAACCTCTCAAGACGCCGCTGGGCATCGTTGACCGAGCCTGCTTTCCTGCCTGCCCGTACCCAGTCACCCATACTCGCACACAGGCACCACCGTCGATTATCAACATCCCATCTTCCATCGCCCCGTCACCCAAGTAAACCCAATCAGCCCACGCTCGACCCTTTCCCCCGTTCTCACGCCGCCCAAACGCCCATCATCCAACAACAACAACAACAACAACCACAGCCTCGCCCTCATCCCCGTCCATCAACCCGTCGACCGCCTCATCTAGCGGCCCATCCAGGCACTGCCTACTGAGGCCTTGCATGTGTAGACGCCCTTGCGCAAAGGCCAAAAGTGCGACACTCGCACTCAAGCACCCCTACGGTCAACCGATACACCGTTGACCGGACCGCCGAAGCACCATACCCATCGTCACGGGACCAGCCTACCACTCCACCACCATGGTCTCCTTCGGATTCGCCTCCGCTCTCGCAGCGGCTTCCATCATCGCCATGGCCTCTGCCGAGACTGGCACACCAACTATCAAGAACCCCATCACAACACCCACCGTCACAAAGCCCGCCAGTGCCATGACCAGCATCGGCTGCTTCGAGACCGGCCTACCACTCGAGAACCATGGCTCTTACAACTTCCAATCACCGGGTAACTGCCAACTGGTCTGTTTGCAACTCGACAAGGACGTCATGGGTTTGTCCGACGGTGAAAACTGCTGGTGTGGTGACGAGATTCCTGCCAAAGCATGGCAAGTCAAGAACGAGACATGTAGCACCACATGTTCAGGTGATGACACCACTGGCTGTAAGTCAAATATGCAAAATACTCTTGTGTGTGTATGCGCGTCATGCTAATCCCTCCCAGGTGGTGGTAAGAATCTTCTGTGGGTTGTCCTCACCGGCAACACCAGGAACCAAGTCGACTACTTTCAGCCATCATCATCATCCAGCAGCAGCTCATTAGCACCACAGACATCTAGCACTGCGCCATCATCCACTGCCGTTGCCAGTGCCACCGCCGTTCCGGTTCAGCCACCTCCACAGGACGACAAGCCCAACACAGTCGCCATCGCAGTGGGTGTCGTCGTCGGAATACTAGGACTGGCAGCCATTTTGTTCGGTGTTTGGTTCTTGTTGCGCCGGAGACGTCAACAGCAGGCTGAAGAAGACTACCGTCGCAACGCCGCCAATGTTAACTCATTCGTTGGCAGTGGCAAGCTGCACACGAGCAACTCGTCCATGAACGACTCTCGTCTGGACCCGAGCTTCATGGACCGAAGGCAGAGCAACGGCAGTATCGCAGATAACGAGGACTACTCGAGGCGGATATTGAAGGTAAAGCAAGACGTGTCAGAACACCCTCGTGACATGCTAATATGACACCAGGTGACCAACGTATGAGCGCCAAAATAAGATACACTGCGCACAACGATTGCGCCCTTCACCTCAGCCCTTTCCACGGTTGGAGTCGCTGACGAACAAAACCTCAATACCCTCGATACCGCACACACCTAATCTCCTTCACCTCATGTCTCGCACTACGGTGTGCGCGACCACGCATTGACGACGAGAGTAAGAATCATCTTGCGATTTAGCCCGTTACTATTCAGTATATGACGGATACACCTTGAGCCAGAATTGAACGAGGACAGGAAAGATTTGTAGTAGCAGAGTTTTTGTCCCTCTTCGTGTTATATCCCGATCCTCTTTGTTCTTTTTTTATCCTCTTTTTTTATTTCCCTTTTCCATCTGGGCGTTCGTGGGGTGTTAGATACCGGGCAATTGAAATGGGCAACTTTACAAACTTAACATTTGGCGCACATACATTGCGGGCACCAAGGTCCCTCCCTTATATTTTGTTCTTTGTTATACCGGACGGTAATCTTACGTCCACCACATTCCTTACCCCCCCAAACCACCAGTCAAGGACATTAGTTTCTGTCCTGCCGCTCCTTTGTATCCCCAAAAATCAGCAAAAACCTAAAATCTCAAAACAGGCACGCCCGTGTGTACTGTCACCACCATAAAGTAGTAGCCGATCCAGCAGGCGCCCAATAGTCTACTCTGTCGCCTTGGTCAATACAAAAAATTCAAATCAACAGCAGGTCCTGTGGAACAGCAACAACATGGAGTGAAGTATATGTGGAATGTGGATAGCTACGATTGGATACAGAGCGAGTATGGTGACTTTATTGATTACGTAGAATAGCCATTAATATGTCATACACAGGTCACACGACCGTATTTTTTTTCTTACGACCCCTTCTTTGCCCACTCGTATTCTTCTTGCTCCCACGCGTCTTTTCTCCTACCCTTACGCTCTCTGTCTCTCTTTCCCTCACTAAAGTCCGTCGGACCCGAGCGCCGGGTCACCCGCATAGCAAGGCAGAGCCAGGCAAAAAGAGGAAAGAGGGAAAGGCAACAGGGGGTGAGTAAAAGGAAAAAAGCCAAGGCTCAAACTCTCAGCCTTACGGGGGAGGGGGGGAAAATGGGAAAGAAAAGGGAAACGCGGCCGAGTTAGTACAATACTGCATACACACACGCACACACACATGCGCGTGCACACATAAAAGTCGTCGTCATCAACCCGTCTTACTGTACCTATACTATTGACATGCATGTATCCCTACATTACAACACACCCACACCCACGTCCACCCATCCACACACACACACACATATATATACCTACGTAACTCGTCCCCATTTTTATTTTTTTCTCTCCTTGCTCGTCCGTTTCCGCATCTTTTGTCCCCCTCTTTCTCTCTCTCTCTCTCCCACTCTTTTTCTCCCCTTTCTAAACATCTTCTAAAAAAAATAAAAAATAAAAATATATATATAAAAATATAACCAAATTCCAAAAAAAAATCATGAAGAATAGTGAGGGTTTTTATTATATATATTTTTTTTAGAAAAGAAAAAACTCGGTCTTATATATACATATAAAAGGGTTATAAAAGTGTTTCTTAGGTACTGTTAAAATAGAATAAAATGTATAACCAGGGATTAACCTAGGAAAACTACTACTGCTACTACTACTACTACTACTACTACTACTACTACTACTAAAGTGACGATGCGCGCGCGTGGGCGTCGTTTGTGTTTGAGAGAGAGAGAGAGAGAAAGAGCGCGTATACGTGCGTGCGCCCCCGTTTGTTGGTTCTTGGGGTTACAAGGCTGCTTGGAGAAGAAGAAGGGGAGGGGGGGAAGGTCTACTTGCTTACTTACGCACTTAGTGCAAAACTCAAGACTCTTTTTTTTCGGGGGTTATGCGTTGAGTGTGGGGGGGGGGCGCGCGCGGGTTGTGTTAATGCTTTGGGGGGCGGTTGTGCGTGCGCGCAAACACGCGTTATGTGAGGCGCAAACTTGGGGATGATTACGGCTTTGGGAAGGTGAGTTGGGTTTGGAAAGGGTAACATGGACATGGGTTGTGCATGACGTTGTTTGAGGCGGAGGGAGGGAGGGGTTTTTCTCGGTCTTGGGTCTTTTGGGTTGCTGGGGAGTGGGGGGGGGGATGGTGTAGTAAGGTGCGAGTAAACGATACTATTGGGGAGGAACACGGGTTTGCTGGTGAGGAATGAACTTGGGGAGGGTTCGGTTTGGTGGGTGCGAGTTGGTGTCAAGGGGGGTGAGGTCAAACGACCGTGGTTACCGGGCCTTTGATCCCGTTTCTTACATGTAATCATTGGGTGAAGGACAGTGCTAGATGGTCAATCTTTTCCTCTTCTTCTCTTTTGGTCTTGGTGACATTTTCCGCCAATCACTAAATGTGCATTGCCCTCTCTGTCTCTCCCCTGTTTCCAGCTTTTCTCTTCAACCCTGAGCATATCATTCGCATCTACCATGGTTCATTGCGACATGAACATGTTTCGTCATTGTCACTTGATTAACCCGTTTCAACCCCAACCCACGCACCTCCCCTCTATCTCCTACTACGTAAGACGTAAGTAGTAGAAACAATCTAAACCAAGTCCGTGAAACGGGGAGAATCCAGTCCAAAATCCCATCCTTCGTATCCCACAAGCACACCACCCCATAATCGCGTGACACCACACCCACCCAATCTTCCCCTTCCTCCCCACAACCACCCTCAAAGAAAAAAAGAATCCAGAACCTTTAATCATACAACCTACTTTCGCAAAAAACTCCCTACACAGTACCACGCCTCTCTCCCATGACCCCATCCAACCCGCGCACAGCTTGCACAAAAGGTCCACGTAACCACCACCACATCCTAGTAGTTCAGTAGTGGCTGTGCAAAAAAAAAGAGACCACCGCACTAAAGCCCTCCTCGTACTAGCGCCTCATCCCCCACTCCCCTGCTCCTCAAGTGACTTGCATGTGACTTGCATGTGACTAAGTAGTAGTAGCCCAGCCACTTTTTTCTCCCCTTGTTCTCAAACTAACACGCAAGGTGTTGTAGTAATGAGAATAGTAATTAAATCTTCATCCCCCCCCTTCCCCCCAGACAATCAAGAGATGTACAGACACAC